GTTGTTGTTGTTGTTGTTGTTGTTGTAGATGTGCGACGGGTGCAGCCGGCGGTGGTTGTGGAAGACGTGCGAGCAATTCATTAAACTTGTTATTGAGCTTTGTTTCGAACGTCTTCTCAATGCCATCTATCTTCTCCATGGCTTCTTCAAATCTGTTTAGCACATCTTGCACCTGTCCACTCATCATTTGCTGAAATTTATCATGTAGCTGTTTGTTTGACATGTTCTCCCAATTAGTCTCATCGGCTTGTGATCCTGGCATGGTTAGCAGCAATAGAAACACAAGAATATGATCCTGCAGACTACTAGGAAGTGGGGTGGTGTGCCAGAAATCCATCAAGCGAATCTCAAATTCTTACCAGTTCTTACCCAGTAGCAGGTGGCGATCGACAACCGTTGTAGTCAATACTCTCAAAGCTTGGATAGAGCGATTACCAGGGAGAGTCAAACGCACGACGTAGATGTATGTGGAACTTGGAAGGCTTATAATATGGTAGCAAATAGGTTCAGCAATAATCAATTCAGAGATGCAAAGTTGAATAAACGCTCAACGACGGTACTGTGTTGGTCATAGGCTAGACCGTGCTAAAGACACGAGCCTAGAACACTAACAAAAACACGGCGCTGCACGTAAACAAGGGAGGAGCACACTCTGAATTTTTTTTCTCTTTTTTCACTTTTTTTGCACTTCTTTTTCCTCTCTTTTTCCCCAACAATTTTTTTTCAAAAATGTCTACAAATGGTCTAAAAACTGCCTAGCCAGAATTTTCCAGACTTTGTTTTTTTTAACTGGAACTATTTTTCTTCTGCGGGTGGCACGAAAGTTGGGGAATCCGACTTGTTCACGACTCGTAGTATCGCGTGATCTGGAACTCGAAAATAAATGAACAAATACTGGACTTGTACTAGGACTGGTGGCGGAGATGAATCTGGTGGAACTCGGACTGGTGATGGTATATGAAGATGTATATGTGGTCTCGGATTGGTGGTGGTATATGGACTCAGATCGGTGGTGGTATATGGACTCGGATTGGTGGTGGTATATGGACTCGGAGCGGTGGTGGTATATGGACCCGGAGCGGTGGTGGTATATGGACTCAGAGAAATAGCGGATAAGCGGTGGTGGTATATGGCAGGGGTGATGATGAGGGTGCGGCGGCGGCGTGACAACTTGTGAACAGAACTAGAAACTCTAAAGAACTAGACGCTAAGACCAGCAACTTGACACGACGATGCAACCGCAAATTCAACAAAGCAAATATAGAAAAGATTATGCAATGGCTCAGATTGGTTTGGATATGATGAACTAACCCTAAAAAAATTGGCTTTTTCGTGGATTGTAGGTATGAAGAACAGACTCGATCTAAACTACAAAAAACTGTAAAATCTCACCGAGCAACCTGAAAATCTGGTACCACTTGATAGAGGCAAAGGTGTTCCGTCTTTCGATGAGATGGTGATTATAGTTTCGGAGGAGTAGACTTTGATGATCCGACTACATACGTGCGAGAACGTCGCACCTTAGCAATCGCTAAACCAACTCCTAGAGGTTATTGACCACGCTGGAGCGCGATCAACCTGACCACAAAGGTCTATTTCCTGCAAGCAAATGAAGAACAAGCAAGAAACTAAGATTGCAATATGGATACTACGAATATGAGATGAAAGCTTTATTGATCAAGGTGGGGTTCTGTGACGTCTTTTTTTGGTCGTTGAACACAAATGAAGTACGCGAAGTTGCAGCTATGGCGAACTTTTAATCTAAACAAAACCCAAAGTCTAAACGACGCCCTAAGGGCTGTATACATGGAGGAAGAGGGGGGAATTTCCTGGCCCTTGGGGGAGGGATCCGAAACTAACCCTATCTCTTGTTTCCCCACACATATTGATGTAGGGTAGAACCCTAGAGGCCGATCTTTCATGTTTGGAGGGAATCCTACCAAGAACACGAAGAACACGAGGAGGGAACGAGAGAAAAACACGAGAAAACTCTCAACCAACAAGAATATAGTCACACATGCGCTAGATCATCGAGACACAAAGTGATACAAGATCCGAATCCAACAAAGGACGACACACAGGGTAACCGGTTCTTCTCCGACAGGAGGTCTTGAGTTCTTCTTGTTAGGGGCCTTGAATCCAAGTGGATCTTCTCCGTAGAGGCACGGACTCTCTCAGAGGAGCAGATCTGGATGGATGAGCGAGGCTCTATCTCACAAATGAGCTATCACAATGCTAACCCTAGCTAGGAGGTGGGAGAGGTCTATTTATAGTCTAAGTGGACGAAAGGGTAAGTGGCTTCGGCCCAACACACGAGCGGGCGCACAGGCGTCGGACGTCCGACGGCCACCGGTCGTTCGAAGGCTCAGGAGGGTCCAGACGTCCGGTGCCGGTCGGGCGTCCGATGTTTCGGCTCTGGTCAGGTATTGTTGGTCGTCCGGTCGGGGTCGGTCGTCCGGTTGTCCGGAAGTCTCCGTTCTTCCGATGTTTTGGCTCGGGTGTGGTGGTGCCGGTCGTCCGGAGAGGCTCGGTCTTCCGGGCGCTGGAAGGTGTTGGACGTCCGGTCGGTGTCAGTCATCCGGCCGTTGTAGCATGCGAAGGCTGGGACTTGGCTGGTCATTTGGAGCCTCCAGGCGTCAGACGTCCGGTTGGCGTCGGTCGTCCGATGACTGAGAGTTTCGAGCGGCCCTTCTTCTTGTCCGATGAACTTGGTGTCCTCGCCGTCTTGTCCATTGGGTGTACCTGATCCGTGGATCTCCTCCAAACACCTGATCACACATAGGGTCTCCGCATGAGGTAGAAGCCATGTCTCATAAGTAGAAAGGGGTAGTTCAGAGAGGAGTGAGTTCACCTTATCTTCGATAGCCTTTGCTCGAGCTCTTGTCATAGGTCCAAATGGTGTCGTGGGAGATGTAGGCACGTCCATGGGGATGATCGTGGAATGCTCCGCATCACATATGGACTCTAAAAACAGCCTATACTTATGTATTTCGAAATTACATGGGCCTGGCCCAATAATAAGGTGACACATCACCTATAATAGCCTCTGGACGAAATTTGTGAAGTGGCATCTTGTATATTTCGTCCAAGACTTCATGTACTCATTACGGTGGCTTCAAAGTCCTGAAATCATCACTTGAAACTCTGTTCTTGTTTCCCTTGCGCATGCCGTCATCTCTATGCTTGTTCTTTCTCCAATGTTCATCCTTCTCCAAGCTAGGCCCTTCATTTGTAAGCAAAACAAATGTATCCAATTTAGGCAGCATCATATTCTCATGAACATTAGAATCATTACCAAGAAACGAAAGTACCTGGTAATTTAATTGGCGTGCACGAGCTCTAGAATTGGTCCAGTATGTATAGTAGCAGGGGTTGCGGTGTAACAATGGTATTGATGTCCTCATCACTTTGTTAACCCGAAAATGTGGCGGGGGAGGAGTATATATAGTCTAGGGGTAGAGAGAGGTACATGGGCCTTAGCCCAAGCCATGCACGCAAGCACTGTCCAGATGATCTGGGCGTCGGGGTCTCGGTGATCCAGATGGCCGTCCGGATCGTCCGGCTATGTCGTCGCGGCCGTAGTTGATCCGAATGTCCGGGTCGTCGTCCGGATGGGTCCGGATGATCCGGCTTCGTCCAGAGGCTTGATGTACTCTTCGGGCACATTACATGGATCGTCCGGATGGGGGTCCGGATGATCCGGGCAAGCTCTATCTTGCTCCGTTTCTTCTCTATCTTCGTGTTATTCTCCCTCCATCGTTCGACCTTGCTCCTTAGCTTCTCCATGCTTAGTTCCTTGGTACGTGAGTATGCAAAGTTTCTCCGTTTGAGCTAGTGGCCATGTCTCATGTGATTCAAAAAGGAGTTGAGCGAGAAGCGATGTCACCTCGGTCTCGATAGCTCTTGCACGCGCTCATGTCATCGGTCCACGTGTCACTTGGGAAGACGAAGGTAGGTCCATGGGGATGACTGTGGGATGCTCCGCATCAAGATCCCAAGTGGATATCAAGGCCCTTTATTGGAAGATCCTCTCGTGGATTCACGCCTCCATCTCTCCTAGAGATTTGGGAAGAACTACCTACCTCCAAGACCTCATGTCCTCTATGGATTTGAGATGGACCTTACTCTTCTTGCTATTTCCCTTGGATTTTTTGTGTATGCTTATGGATCTCATGTGTTGCCCATCTAGTGGATGTGTGATTTGGACTTGTCTTTGAGTGTTCCATCTTGTGATTTGTGTGTTTCTCTTGGATTCCCCCTCCAAGCTATGAAAGATTAGGCCATCTAGGGTTCCACTCTTCGTAGTTCTTGCACTTTGTAGGCTTAGCAAAGCATAAACTAGATCTTGAGGGGGTTTTGTTCATCTTATTTCCTCATAGCGGATGAAGACCTGACGAGAAAAATCCTTTTGGAAGAATCCTTTTGGATTAAAGACGAACCGTCTCTGCTAGAGATTTGAGGAAAAACTATCCATTTGGTTACCTTTATTTCTTGTGTTGTTCTTGGATGCAAAATGTACCTGTATTGACCTTGGATTTGAGGGTAGTTGGTGTGAATCACGTCCTGTTGAGTGTTTTCCTCCAGATTTCTCTTTGTTTCTCCTTGTTCCTTGTGTTTTGCCCTAAATCCACCTCCAAAACGTGAAGGTCAAGGTAGATATCTCTCGTACACACATTGCTTGCTTGGCTACATCTGAATGACGTGATTTCGTAGCATGATGGTCACGACACGATATACTAGAAAAAGTTACTGCTGGTTACAACATGTACAATGTAACAGGACGACAGAATATCACTGCTTCAACCGTCAAATACAAGGTTAAGTTTAGCACATCCTAGTCAGTTAAGTCAACAATGCGAGGCAACTCGAAACCAATTATTGGGAAAAAGAAATAGGTTACACATCATAGCTGCGGTAACTACTTGAAACAATATTTACAATGTACAACACCAGGAGAACTGTCCTGTTAGAGCATATGATGAATGAGAGGATGGCTATGCCTAATCCTCATTATCGTAGTCCTCTTCCTCATCAACCTGCACTGTCAGATGTCCAAAACTGGACGGTCCAACACCAATGCCTCCAATGGCATCTGGCATAGGCAAATCTGGCTGATGGTTGGTGGCTTTTTCAACCTTTGAAATCACAGCTGGCGTCACGACCGATGGAGCCTCCACTAAAGGATGTGAGCTTTGGGGAATAATCTCATTGCCACGGTTGGTCTCTGGAACTATCTCATCTCCTGGCAAGGGTTCACTTTGTTCAGCAAACATGCTGCTCTCATCCTCAAACTGTACATAACCAATTTCCTTTCTCTTGGTTGGAGGCCGCCCTCGCCCTCTTCCTCGACCTCTGCCTCGTCCTCTGGGACTAGTGTTCAAGCTTCTTATGGGCTGCAAAGCCAATCATGTTATCAACTTATCTGCTAAGAAAATTTAACTCTGCTGATATGTGATGGAATTGCACCATTTTGCTAGATCGGGGCTCCTCATTCTCTGGGTCGCTTCCATTTGAAAATTTCCTAGAAAGTGAATTTCAATCATTAATAACATGCTATCACAATGATTCATGAGAATTTGACTATGCCAAGTCAATTACCTTCTTCTGGGTAATCCTCTTTCATCTCCACAAGATTCACCGCCACCGAGATCTGGCACCTTGTTGACAATCTCAGTTAGGAAGTCAAAAGAGCTGTACCTCTTCACACATTGCTTTCTGAGCATCTCATAAGAAACATATAAACCATTAGTCACTAAAGGCAAAGGCACACAGTTTAAACATCGCATAAGTGGCTGTGGTTGACTTGTGTAACTAAATTTTTGACAAAAGAAAACACCATTGGTGACCACAATTACCAAAGGTACCAAAAGAAGAAAAGTCTTCATCATTAATCCTAGATTATAATCAAATTAGTAGCTCGAATTACAGATGAAAGTTATAAATCATGATAAGTCAGACAAACACATGTGCTGCATATGAGAAGGCACATCTCAGCTTCCACTCAAGTTCCATTCGGAAGGCAGGCCATCTTCGCAAATCTCCTATAGTTCATTACTGGAAATCATACCAGAGTAGTTTTCCACTGAAAAACATAAACCAGTTTCCAATTGGTTACCAAGATGAACCAGTCCGAAACTGACCTGCTGATACATCTTGAGCCTTGACAATAATTTCCCAATGTTTTTCTTGTACTCGTCAGCTTTCCATATTCTGGTTCCTCTTTGGAGCCTTCCGGGGAAGCACTAATTGCTAGTAATTGTGTTTTGGTGGCTATGGTGGGAGAACAGGAATACACTACGAGATGACGACCAGCAGAACTCAGCTAATTCATCTAGTCACCAGACTCACTGTCACATTAGAGTCCGGAGAGCTGTTGAAGCCAAACAAGGTGCGGAGTTTAACAGCAGCAGCCATGAAAGAATTACGGCTGATGCTTCCATGGAGGGTGTGGGGATAGGGATTGCTCAGGCGTCGTTATTCAAGATGAAACTGAGACGGATGCACAGCTGTTGTTTGCTATCTGACCCAAGAGGCAAAAAATATACTCGGCTACGTGTTTTAACTAATGTATGGTGTTGATTTCCTTCCCCAGTTTGAGTAATGAAACCTCTTAAAAGAATGAAAACAAAAAATACCCTGTTTTAAATCATAATAGTCAAGTTAATAATGAAAATACGAAAGAGAAACTTTTGCCAAGAACATCAAACTGCACATGCTAAGAGTCGTCCATACAAAGGGATGGCATTTCAAGAGGTTACAGAGTTTATTTAAGCTCCAGAAGTCCAAGCAACATTAGACCACACATGTTAGGCTTGTGAGATACTTTATAATTTAATGGTATTTAGTGGCGTAATATGTAAGCGACTAGAAAAACTTAAAAGCAGCAACTGGACAGTCTCCACAAGCTACCTAGGGCTTGTTTGGATGGCCTCCGGCTCCACACTCCGCCAACTCCGAACACGGAGCCAGACCGAACGTCCCAGCTTCACGAAGCCAGCTCTGCTTTCACCTCCCGAAACTGTGGCTCACGGAGTTCCTCAAAATTACAAGGCCATGCCACCAATAGGAAAAACGATTCGATTTCTCTCCTCACCCGTGAGCGAAACCGAACCAGAGCGAGTTTCCACCCGGTCTCTCTTGTCTCTCTCTCCTTCATCGCTCTTATTTCTCCCTCCCATCAGCCAAATCGCCGGCCACGACTAGGTCTCGCATCCCCACAACAATGGTGGCGGCGCCGGATTCACCATCCACAATCACAGACGGGGCAACCTCGCCCTACTCACCGTTATTACAGCCGCCACCGGCTAGATCCACCAACGGAGAGAAGGCTCGCAGCCACAGAGGACGGCAGTCACGTGGCCCTTCTAGCGCTGTTCGTCAGCGGTGCGCCAGTGGGCGGCCTCAAGAGATGGGTGGTGCGACGAGATCTTTCTTTCCCTGTTGGTCGTGCTAGAGACGACGTCCTTCCCCACTGAACGGGCCAAGCCCTGGCCTTCCTTTCCCTTTTAACGAGCCAAGTCCTAACAAAACGGGCTACCAACCCATGAAGACCATTCGGCCGTACATGGTGCCAAAGTTCACGCTTCGCATGAGGAACTGGAATCAGAGGGAGTCGGAGTTGAGAATTTGGTAGATTTTGAGGACATCCGAATGGGCCCTTATAATATATGGAAATACATTGGAGAAAACCACCATATTACTAACTTTCATCTAAGTACAATGTGTAAATCACAGACGGCTCAAAGCTATCCATATGTCTAGAAAAACATGGAGTGATACAATACATACAGCACGAAGTCATAGTAAGATTAAACAGCCATGGACACAGAATAGAACTCACAGGTGGAAGGAATTCAGTGTCTTTGCACCACTTTGAAGAGTAATTTTGTATGAGCGGTCAATCAAATCTTGCAGAAACAATTCAAGGGCTCTCGCTGCATGCAAACAATAAATTCAGAATGCCAGATACTCACTTTATATGCTTCATCATGGAATTATCTAGTGTTACAATGCACACAGCAAAAAACAGTGATGCCGCAATATCTTTAAAAGCGACAGAAGATATGGGCCAAACATAGAGATTTTAAAACAGATACAAGACACACGAAGATTCTTGCAGAACTTACAAACTAAAACAGGCACAGCCAGTGCAATTTTGCCAACATCCTCATCTGCTTGCATTATCTTTTTGATCCGTGCCTAACACAACAACATAAAATTAGTGACTGGACAAACAGCTGAAATATATAGTCCTACAGAATACAACATAACACAGAGCAAAAGAGCCACACTAGCCAACATAAGATAATGCTAAGCAAAAAAAACAAAGGAAAGCTAGGTTTCAGTAACAGACATAAACAAAAACTTCCAGCCATCAGTACACACCCAAAAAATGTGTGCACGATGTCATGCTAGTTCTCTCAACAAGGAAACACAAGTCATGTTAGGAGAAGTATTATTAAAATGACTATCACGCAAAAGGAACTCCTACAGGGCAAAGCGGAAAGGTCTCGTGCAATTTCAAAACTTGAATGATGTCAGGCTGGTGACAATAAAACAGTGAAAATGTTCCGAACGTCCTGAAAACATTAAGGCTCAAGATTTATAGGTTGCATGTGCCAAATTTTATACTACTACACTGCTGAGCCTGTCTCAGCCTTTCTTTCTATCACTTACCACACGTGTTTGCATCTTGAGGAATCTTGCAAGCGATCGCCCATGCTACCAGCAACTTGGGCAGCAACAGTACAGTATTAAATCGCAATTCAAGCTCGATTTACTCATCTTGTACAACGAGCAACCGAGTTACAACGAAAGAACATCGCAATAGGTTTGCTTCTTCGACGCCATCTTGCACTTGCCAGATAGATATTTTTGCCAGATCATCACAAGTTAGCGTCAGCTACGAGTGAGTGATCAAGAATCTTTCCACTCACACAAAACCAACCGCAGTAGACTACCGAGTCCACCTCACTCCATCCATCCATCCACCACAAACGAACTCGACACAAGGGGACAAAATCAATTCACTAGCGAGACAAAGCAAAAGGACGATTAGATTCCTCGCCCGGCCCATGAGCGCTTGCCCGAGAAGAACACCAGCCCGTTCCGCGTCTCCACCCGAGCGGCGCCTCGGCGACGAAACGCACCACAAGAAGACAAACAAAGCGCCAGTCAACGGCGAGATCCACCATGCGAGGACCGAGATCCACCGAGAGCACGGAAGATCGGATCACGGGCAAGCCAGATTAGAGAGGGGCCATGGAGGAGAGGGAGAGAACGAACCGCGGGGAACCGGGTGCCCAGCTTCTTCCTCATCTTTGTCGCAACTCCGACGCCTCGTCGAGCTCGATGCCGGCAATCGTAGTCTACCTTTTGTGTATTTTCTTTTCTCGTTCTTCTTGACGATTGGGTTTCTTGTTTTGTTGTCTTTCCACCAACTTGCACCAACACGGCGGACTCGTGCCAAAAGATATTTACCGCATCTCTCACAGTAGCCCTATTATTTTCACACACGAATTGTTTTTAAGCACGAAAAGCTATCAAATTCTAAATTTTCTTGAAAAAATCCGGCAACCTAAAAAAAATGCTTCGAGTGTAGTGAATATAGGGTAGTCACGCGACTGCCACAAAAGAGTGCTTGCATCACGAAAAATAATCGCTACCCTTTTCTTCCCGCGCGCAACCGGAATGTTGCCTCCGCTTTCCCGCCGGCCACCGCGTCGCCATGGCCAGCTCCTCTGACCCCGCAGCCGACCCCGCGAAGCTCATCGCCGATCTCGCTTTCCTCGCCATGGTCGGCGGAGCCTCCATTGTCGCTCCTTCCACCGACGACATTGTAGCCGCCGCCCCTGCCCGCCACCGTTCCTTCCTCCGACTTCCTCCTCCTTGTTGTGATCCCTACGTCGGATCCGGTCAATTCAGCATCGATCCGGCCGGCCGTCACGTTTGCCCAGTTCGATTCCTTGCTCAACGACCTACGGGGAAGGAAGGAAGAGAGGGACCCGACACAAGTAGGAGGTCAGTGACCTGCGGGAAGGGAAGGAGGAGAGGAGAGGGGGGCTAGGGAGGCACGGTGATGTAGGGCAAAACCCTAGATTCAAGATCTTTTCGCACTTGGAGGTGGAGAAAGGATGAACACTCAATAACACAAGAGAGAGAGAGAGACTCAAACAAATCCAAATCACACATCACTAAGATAGCATACATGAGATCCACAAATATATATTAACAAGTCAAAAGGGGGAAGCACAAAGGTAAAGGTTCTTCTCAAATCCAAAGGAGATGAGATCTAGCATCCATGGAGGATCTTCCCATATAGGGGTCTTGCATCCCTAGATTGATATTCCCTTATAGGGCTCTTGCATCCACTAGGGGGATCTTCTCACATGGAGGTCTTGACCTCCAAGAGGAATAATGAATATGAGCAAAGCTCTAGCAATTCTCTATTATGTCTTTGCCAGCCCTAGGATGGAGGTAGGAGAAGGGTATTTATAGTCTAGGTGTGAAAGAGGGGTACATGGGCTGAAAACCGTCGGGATGCGCACACGCAATACCGGACGTCTGGTCGTTCGCGAGTGATTGAACATCTGGTTGGGCGTCGGACTTCCGCCATTTCTTCTCTGGTCAGGTGGTACGGGATTTCCGGTGTTTGCCGGACGTCTGGTGGCTCGGGAGGGTCCAAATGTCCAATGCGCGTCAGACTTCCATCATTTTGCTTCCGGACATGTGGTACAACATTTCTAGTGAAGACCGGACGTCTGGTTGTTGGAACTTGTCGGACGTCCGGCCGCTGTAGCGTTCGTTGGTTGTTGGCTTTGTGGTTGGTTGTAAGTGAATGTGTGAGACGTCCGGTGCCTGTAGCTTCCTACCAACTCCTTTCCTTGCTTCTTGATGAGGACATCAATATCATTGTTACACCCACAGCCCCTACTGCTACGTATACTGGACAAATTACTAGAGCTCGCGCGCGCCAATTAAATTATTAGGTACTTTTGTTTCTTGGTAATGTTTCTAATGTTCATGAGAATATGATGATGCCTAAATTGGATACATTTGTTTTGCTTACAAATAAAGGGTCTAGCATGGACAAGAGGGATGATCACTTGAGCAAGATCAAGCATGGAGATGATGGCATGCGCAAGGAAAACAAGACTGAGTTTCAAGTGACGATTTCAGGACTTTGAAGCCACCACAATGAGCGTATCAAGGCTTGGATGAAATATACAAGATGTCACTTCCTAAATTTCGTCCAGAGGCTATTATAGGTGTTGCGTCACCTTATTATTGGGCCAGGCCCATGTAATTTCAAAATACCAGAGTATAGGCTGTTTTTAGAGTCTGTATGTGTGGGGAAACAAGAGATAGGGTTGGTTTCGAACCCCTCCCCCAAGGGCCACGAAATCGCCCCCCCCCCTCTTTGGGTTTGTTTAAATTAAAAGTTCGCCATATCTGCAACTTCGCGTACTTCGTTTGTGTTCAACGACCAGACCAAGACATCATAGAACCCCACATTCATGAATAAAGCTTTCCTCTTATATTCACAATATCCAGATTGCAATTTCAGTTTCTTGCTTGTTCTTCGTTTGCTTGCAGGAAATAGACCTTCGTGGTCAGGTTGATCGTGCTCTGGCGTGGTCAATAACCTCTCGGAGTTGGTTCGATTGCTAAGGCGCGACGTCCTCGCACGTTCGTAGTCGGATCGTCAAAGTCTACTCCACCAAAAATGATAGCCACCATCTCATCGAAAGACGGGACACCCTCGCTCTATCAAGTGGTATCAGATTTCTAGGTTGCTCGGTGAGACTTACAAGTTTTTCATAGTTTAGATCGAGTCTGTTCTTCAGACCAACAGTCCATGAAAAAGCCAAAAAAATTAGGGTTAGTTCATCATATCCGAACCAATCTGAGCCTTTGCATAATTTGTTTAGAGTTTTGCTTTGTTGAATTTGCGGTTGCATCGTCGTGTCGAGTTATTGGTCTTAGCGTCTAGTTACCTTAGAGTTTCGAATTTTGGTCACAGGTTTTCACGTCGCCGCCACACCATCGTCATCGCCGCCCCCATATACTATCACCAAATATCCGCTGCCAATCCGAGTCCATATACATCCACCGTATATCCGCCACCAATCCAAGTCATATACATCCATCAGGTCACCATCACGCCAATCCGAGTCCACCTCCACCATAGATTTGCCACCAGTCCGTGCTCCACCGCCCATCATATACCATCACCAGTTCGAGTTCCACCAGATTCTTCTCCGCCACTAGTCCTAATCCGAGTCCAATATTTGTTCCTTTATCTTCGAGCTCCTGATCACGCGATACCATGAGTCGTGAGCAATTCGGATTCCCCAACTTCCGTGTTACCTGTACAAGAAAAATAGTTCTAGTTTCAAAAAAAACTAAGTCTAGAAAATTCTGGCTAGGCAATTTTTGCGGAGCCAAAAAAAGAGGGGGGAAAGTGAAAAAAAGAAAAAAAATATTCAGAGTGTGCTCCTCCCTTGTTTACGTGTCGCGCCGTCATTTTGTTAGTGTTCTAGGCTCGCGTCTCTAGTACGGTCTAGCCTAGGACCAGCACAGTACCGTCGTTGAGCGTTTATTCAACTTTACATCTCTAAATTGATTATTGCTGACCCTTTTTGCTACCATATTATAAGCCTTCCCAGCTCCACATACATCTACGTCGTGCGTTTGACTCTCCCTAGTAATCACTCTATGCAAGCGTTGAGAGTTTTGACTACAATGGTTGCCGATCACCACCTGCTGCTAGGTAAGAACTGGTAAGAATTTGAGATTCGCTTGACATATCTGTGACTTTCCACAACACCACAACCACTTCCTAGCAGTCTATAGGATCATATTCTTGTAACAACAAGAACCTCCACATCGTAAACAGCCCTCCGCCGAGCGAGCCGTGTTCCTCCTGAGACTGGCCAAACTTCTGGTGCCGCTACTACTGATGTTGATGCTTCTGTGGCTCCTGCTGCTGCTGCGAAGGAGGACGATTACGCGGGCGATTATGAGGATGAGGCTGATCATAATCAGAACTACGTGCAACCACCAGCACCACCACCACCAGGTCGTCGACATGCAAATAATCGCAATGGTAGGCCTGCACCACCACCTCAGGTACGAGATCATGACCATCTTCCTAAACTAAAATTGCATATTCCACCATTCGAGGGTAGATATGTTCCTGATATATCTCTTACTTGAGAGTTAGAAACTGAACAACATTTTGCATCTTTACAATATCCCAAGGAAAGACGTGTTGCTGCTGCTGTTTGTGCTTTCACTAGTTTTGCATGTGTTTGGTGGTCTGAACATTGTAGATTATATCTTATTCCAGCTACTTGGGCTGCTTTGAAAACTGCTATGCGTACTCATTGGGTTCCACCATATTATCAACGTGAATTACTTCGAAAATTGCAGCGCTTAAGAAAAGGAAAAATTCTGTAGAATGATATTATCAAGAATTACAAACTGGCATGATCAGATGTGGTATTGTTGAGGATAATGAAGCTATGCTTGCATGTTTTATGGGTGGATTAAATAGAGAGATTTGGACCATTCTAGAGTACAAGGAGTATAATAATATCACTCGTTTATTCCATCTTGCTTGTAAAGCTGAACGTGAAGTGTAGGATCGACAGGCATTGGCGCGAACTAACTTTTTTGTAGGTCGACCTTCATCATGGACACCGTGATGCGGAGCATCCTACGGTCATCCCCATGGACCTACCATCGTCTCACCAGGTGCCAAGAGGACCCATGACACGAACACGAGCTAGAGCTCTCGAGACCGAGGTGACTTCTTTCCTTAGTGATATCTCATATGATCCACTCGAGACATGGCTACTACCTAAGTCCGAAATGTTGTGCATGATTAGGTACCAAGAAAACCCTTCTGAGGATGCACATGAAGATGGTCAAGCTCCCAAGTCCATGGATGAAGAGAACCAACGGAAGGAGACTAGACCAGCTCCCATGTTCCGGACATCCAGCCATGGCCCCGGACATCCGGGCCCTAGAGGTGTCGCCTGCATCCAAGGACCAGCGGCCAAAGCTACAGGGCCCGGACATCCGGCGGCCAGCACGAACATCCGGCCCATCGCCCCGGAAATCCGGCTCCCAGCCCGTATATCCGGACAAGTCATCCAGGGAGTACTGAAGCCTGACCCGCCAACCCGGACATCCGACCACAACCCCGGACGTCCGGCCCTTCATGACGCCCCGGACATCAGGCCAACGCCCGGATAATGTCTACTACACAACCTTCTTCTTGTAGACGTTGTTGGGCCTGCAAGTGCACATGT